TCAGTTAACTTTGGCAGCCCTAAACTACTACAAAAAATGACTACCAATTAACTTAACTTAAAAAAAAAAACGGGGGAAAAAATGTAAAATTAAACAAATGTGAAAATTCAAAATACAATGAAATTCCAAGTTCTAATAACTCTGCCTTGGAGTATAATGTTAATTTCAGCATGTACTATGGTATATATCAAAGTGCGGTGATATTACCTTCACTGTACCATGGTACTTTTTTTGTAAGGGAAGTAATAAGATGTTATAAAGGGTACCAAAAATACACTGAGAGGATATCATGATCCCAGAGCTCATTTTAACCTGTTGTGACAGAGACAGAGCCATGCAAATTTTTACATATCTCTGAGATCAGCTAGAGAGCAACTAGTGCAACACAAAGCACAGGAAAGGTCAAAGGGCAAAGGTTGTATCAGTGTTATGATACCATACATTCTCTCACACACAGACACGCACACACAATGCTAGTGCACACGGGCAATTACATATGAGCTCCCTGAAGCATGAAAGTGTGGAAAGACAAGCTTTGACCTACGGTGTAATTCTGGTCCAGAAATGACCCGCGTTTCAACAGCACATGGCTTTAAAGACAGGAAAGAGATGCCAAACTATTCTTTTCACAAGGTGGAGTGTTAAAAGACACATATTCTTAAGGCAGTAGATTATGAAAACAAAGATTAAGATTGAAAAGGTTTCACTTAAAAAAATGGGAATCAAAAGGTCAAGTCTCGAACTGTAAAATCGTCAGGAAGTGGTATATATTGTGCATGTGCAATTGTTTTATTGTTCAACATACAATGGCATGTCAAGATAAAATGCCATTTTTTGTTACATTCTGTTCATTTTTAGTTGTTCCTCTAGTTTAATTTCCTAAATTGCTCACACAGGCTTTCAAAACATTGGTTGCATGAGGCATTTTTACTGTGGGTTAAGCGTGATCTATAATAGTCTAGCTTTAAAATCTGCGTTAAGATATACATTACAAGGCATTTCTGTCAACCTAAGCGTCAATGTGGCAGTTTTATATGAAGTACAGTGTAACCATTGAAATATATATATAAGAAATTAACTGGAAAAATAATGTTTATCCTGTAGGATATCTGTTATAGTTCATTGAGAAAACTTGACTGGATATACTACATATTTAAATTGTGTTATTTAATGCGTCTTGTATTATATTCTGTACGTTGCCATGGCTATTTGTTACTTTGTACATTTTATTTTTAAACTGACTTACGATTGTCTTGATTTGTGCCTTCATTGACATAAGATTGTCCTGATAATGTTAATGTTATTCTCAGTTTAATAATTTGCAGTATTGTGTAAGTGTTTTTAAATAGGCATCCATGGAAAAGGAGTTTGTCTGTATGGTTTGTTATGAGCACAGTTAGGTGGTGTATTAAACCTTGTGCTGTTTGTGCTCAGTGCAAAACATTGTCACTTCTTTTAATAAATGTCTCGATCTAAATAAGACGTGTGTGTGTGTCTCCACTCATTCCATTAAATGTAGAACACAAAGTACTCATAAAAGTTTAAAGCCTCTCACTCAACAAACCAGCTGTTCCAAGATAGGACCAGTGCTATAAATAAATAAAATTAAGTAATTAAATAAATAAATAAGTGTGTGTGTTATAATACATACATACATACATTATATATATATATATATATATATATATATTATGTATTTTTCCAAAACAGCTACATCCCTCATATACATCAGTGTACAAATAATTTTAGCATGAATAGCTAATGCCAACTTTTACTATATGCTTTACAATAGACATTATTCTAATACAATTCTGTCACACACATGCATTTCATATAAACATACACTATTATTTGAAATTTTGGGGTCGGGAAGATGTTTTAAAAGAAGTTGCTGTTGCTCACCAAGACTGCATTTTTTGGTCAAAAATACAATAGCAAAAGCAATATTGTGAAATAATACTACAAATTAAAACACACGTTTTCTACCTTAATATAAATTTTTAAAATGTAATTTTGTTGGCAAAGCTAAATTTTCAGAAGCATTACTCCAGTCTACAGTGGCACATGATTCTTCAGAAATTATTCTAATATGTTGATTTACTGCTTAATATTGTTGTGGAAACCGGTATACAAATAATATAGTTTTTTTAAATAGTGTAAAAAGATATTTTAAAAATAGATAACATAAATTACACATACTGTAGAATGAATTAAGAGAACATTTATTTTCATATTTTATCCAAAACTATACTACTACATAAAAATAACAACATAAAAATAAAAATACAATAAAAAATACAATAAAATAAAATACAAAAATATAAATCACATATAGAAGGAATAAAGGAAAAACATTTCCCACATATTTAAAAAAAAAATATATATATATATATTTTTTTTTTTTTTCGGTGATATTTTAACAGAGCGACTGTAAAAATGCACTCACTTCCAAAACAACCAAAAAAAAGTCTCAACTGATGGTTTGCAGAGGATTTGAGAGTGGAAAAGCAAGCACAAGACTGTATTTAAAAGCATGGGCTAGACTAGGCTGAAGACTGGGCTGTATCTTCATACGGCAGGAAAAATAATCAACAACCATCAGAGCACAGTTGGTGTGTATGTGTTTGATTGTTTTAGTGGACACTCACCCTGACGCATGGTGTGAAACTCATTATTTACGTCTTAATGCCTCCTGTCTGTGACTAAGTAGGTGTGTGCGTGTTTATGTTTTCGGGTTTGTGCAAGAATCTGTGAAAAATCTTCCATGTCGGCACCTCCTCAACATACAAACACACATCCCATAAATCTCAACTAATTTTAGCTCAGCGTCTGCCCACAGTTTGCATCAATGCATGAGCTGCTCTGGAAGTCTAGGCTACTTGTCTCTTAGGAATGTCTGGCCTTTGCGCAACAACCACTACAAAGCCACAGAAAGAAAAGGAGAAAAGGGATGGAAAAAAGAAGGACGAATAGACAAAAAAGGTGAGAGCGCTGCTACTGACAGCACAGAATTATACAAAACAAAGGCAGAGAAGAGCAGAGATTCACTCTTTCGTGTTTCTTTTTGTGAAAATGTGTTGATGTTTAGGTTTGTGTGTGGTCCAACCAAACAGAACATCTAAATCCAAATAGGCCGTAACAGGATAGCTTTCTCTTTCCTGAAGGAAGAAAAGCTTTTTTTCTCTCATTCCAGAGAGTGCTCAACCCCATCTGGTCTTGATTGAAAACAACCCCCTTTTGTTTTCAAGGAAGTGCCTTGAATCACTGCAACATGATCAAAGATAGATGTCCATTATTGCTGAATTAGGATGAGCTTACTATTGTAACACAAACCTGAACCATTGGAAACAACAACCTTGGCAAAACTGTTCTCAGATCAGCCCTGACGCCTGACATTCACCGATCTGAAACCTCATGAACCATGTCCTCTCAGGTGAGAAGAATGATGGGGGGACGTCATAAGTGCTTCCATCCTCTCTCCTATCCCATAATCCCCTCTCCCTCTGTCTGCTTTCACACCAATATCAAAGCCCGCCAAATATTTTTCCTCAAGTTCCTCTCATTCTTTACTCCTCCTGGAAGAACCAACGTTTACATTCTGGAGATGTTTTCACTGGTGAAAGGAAAGAAAAGCTGGGGAAAGTTTACCTGAGCTTAAATATGTAAGAGAGGTTGATGGATGGTTGCAACATGCCCACACAATCAGTCAGATAGTTGTGTAGGTATTGTCTGTATGGTTCGCTCCTCATATCCAAAGTCCTGATCTCTGTTGTTTTGACTGCTGATGATTTTCCTATAGGTGTAGATCGTACATGTTGTACTTTCTCACACAACCTTGTCTTCAGACACCTAATGAACCTAAAGCACAGAAAGAGACATGTGTGATTTAAAGCACCACATATACTTTGTTTATGTTGATATATGTGACCCTGGACCACAAAACCAGTCTTAAGTCACTGGGGTATATTTGTAGCAATAGCCAAAAATACACTGAATGGGTCAAACTTACTGATTTTTCTTTTATGCCAAAAATCATTAGGATATTAAGTAAAGATCATGTTCCATGAAGATATTTTGTAAATTTCCTACTGTAAATATATCAAAACTTAATTTTTGATTAGTAATATACATTGCTAAGAACTTCATTTGGACAACTTTAAAGATGATTTTCTCAATATTCTGATTTTTTTGCACCCT